TCAGAGGCCGCCAATTTCTTCAAAATCATTTGGTGTGCTTGTGAGATATTTATTTTATAAAGTAAGATATTCAGGCCTACAAGATTATTCAACTTGAAAAAATTTTCCTGAATCCTTAAATCAAGAAAAAGAGTGCAAAAAAATTACGAATCTTTTTTTTTGTGCTATTGCTGGGAACTGCGTGAGAACTATGAGTCTAAAAAATTTTTCACCGGGAGATCCAAAAACTAGAATCTTCTCAAGAGAACTCTTTTTTCATCTTGATATCATTTTTACTCAAGCGAAATCCGTCAAAAATTACTACAAAGTTTTGAAATTTTTTAGCTACCTCGATTTTTGTTAGGAGTATATTGCATCAACTAACAATGTTTTTTTTTGGGTGATTTGTACATCTCTCTGGATTCTTTCGTAGACTTATCGATCAGAAGATGTTATTTTCTAAACGATATTTCATTTTCGGATAATGAAATTTTTTTTTTCACTTTTTCAAGGAGTATCCTATTTTGTCCCTAAAAAAAAAATTTTTTTTCTACGCAACTTGAAATTTGATTATTTTCCTTCAATTACAAATGAAAACGAGAAAAATCAGCATATTTATCCTTAAAATCATAACGGTTTTTGAAGTACTCTATTTTGCCCCCCCCCCCCACCCCTATATATAGATCAGTAGAATCAAGGAATGCAGCGGTGGAAACCAACCCCGTGAAAATCGGTTTATTCATTCAAACGTAATTGCAGTTTGAAAATAAAAAAAATGCTGTTTTATTAAACTTTGCTCAGAAGCATAGAATAGCTAACCCTTTGAGCTCGAAGAGCTCAAAATAATACATAAATTATATTTTCGAGTTTAGAGAGCTCAAAAACGTCATAAGTGCAATTTTAAGCTCTTAGGTACAGAATTAGCGGGAAGTTGCAGGGATGGAGGTTGCAGGGATGGCCTTTAGGATCAACCGTTTTCCTAATTTTTTTTCAATTAATATTCTTTAAATTTGATAACTTAAATAAAAATACGTATATTTACTGTCAGCTAAATAAAAATATGAATCAGTTTATTGATTCAAGAGTAAATAAAATGAATTTAATGTCATAGAAATATTATTATCCAACCGACTCATAAAATATCTAATATTTATAAAAATCAAAACAGTAGACTTACCGACATGCAGCTCATGATGATTATTGTGCTGATACGTCTAATCCCAGATGTACGAAATGATAAGGTATTTTAAATCAAGTTTACAATTATGTCCACCAAATGCGTATCGAATAATTGCACTTTTTATGTCTTGAATTGTCTTCTAAACTTTTCTAAACGAGCTAAGCTTTTGGCAAAGTTTCTAATCCTTTTTTTATTGTTCAATATACTTATTATAAGGATATTTGAAAAAAAAATAATAACCATAAAATTGATTCACTCTCTCGCACTTATTTCGACGTTATAGAATAACAGGCAAAACAAATTATTTATCAAACACTTACAAAAAAAAGAATAATGATTCACATGTATAATTGTTTTTTAAGTCGAACATTCAAACTATTTCATAATACTAGTAGTATCTATGAACAAGAGGAAAAAAAACAAGCTAAATAATCTTGCAAACAAATGGCAAAATACTGAATGAAAATATTTACAATAAACAGTGAGTATGGTCAGAACAATAAGGAATACTGCGAAATTCGTGTAAAAATATCATACCAGATAAAAATTTACTTATATGAATTATCAATTTTTAAATAATAAAAACAACATTATTAGTATCTACTTACTGTTTAAATTGCGAGATAAATACAAACGCTTATAAATGAAAAAATATGAATGGCGAATATTGAATAGATAAAAACTAAACAATCTTAAATATTTTCCTGCGGTTTTATCCTACTAACCTAAATGTGTATTTTCGACCGATCGTCCGAAAAAACGTCGTATTCAAAATATTTTCGACACAGCAACTCGTAGTACAAACATGATAGTGGCTGCCATATTGACATTTTGCTTAGTAATGTGCGAGACACAATATAGAGTGAGCTGCTAAAGAAACACTTATACGCGCCAAATTCATATTGTCACTATTACTTTCAAACAGTATTAATTTAATATTTATTTATTTATTTATTTCTCAGTCATGGAGCTTAGCTCCCTGTGACCATATTTCTTACATAAGTTACAAAGATAGTATACACTGATAAAAAAAATTAGAAAAACGGTTAACCCTGAAGGCCATCCCTGCAGCTTCCCGCTAATTTCATACCTAGGCGCTTAAAATTGAACTAATGACGTTCTTGAGCTCTTCGAGCTCAAAAATACAATTTATGTGTTATTTTGAGCTCTCCGAGCTCAAAGAGATAGCTTTGCTATGCTTTTGAACTCTTTGAGCTCAAAAGTCTTATCAAAATTCGATGAAACACGATTTTATTAATTTTCAAACTGCTGTAACTTTTAAATAAATCAACCGATTTTCATGCGCTTGGCGGCAATCGATGTAGTTTTTTGAGCTCTATAAAAAATTTAGAACAAAAAAAATTAATCTGATGAAACATTTCGGAGTTATTACAAAAAAACACTTTTCGATTTTTTTCGACAACGATATCTCACGAACGCATCAGCCGATTCTGACGCTCTAGGTGGCAATCAATGCCGGTTTTCAAGGTTAAGAGCTGAATAGTTTTTGAGGTCGATCGGTTCAGCCAATTTGGAGATATTTAAAAAAAATTAAAAAAACGGTAGACCCTGAAGGCCATCCCTGCAACTTCCCGCTAATTCCATACCTAGGTGCATAAAATTGCACCAATGATATTTTTGAGCTCTCCGAGCTGTCAGGGGAATAGTCAGGGAAGCTTCCTAGAACCTCAAAACGTCGAAATCTGATTAAAACTCGATTTTCGAAAAACGGGGTAAAACCAATAACTTCCCGATTCTTGAAAATTTACAATTTTTTTAGCGGGAAGTTAAAAATATATAGACTTAATTTTCATGATCAAGTGGAAAATGAGGGTTCCACTTGACGTGATCTTGCTCTAATGTAATTTTTATTAGTCAGGTAAAATACCCAGTAGCTGCTCAGGAACCAGTACCTGCACACTCCATGTATTTGTATATCTGCATTTGTGAATAAAGATATACAAATACACAGAGTGAGCAGGTACTGATTCCTGAGCAGCTGCTGGGTACTTTACCTTACTTAAGATAATGAGCAGAATCCGAGAAAAAATATTTATATATAATTATATATATTTATATATAAATTGGTTATATATGATTATATATGAAAAATGGCCAAATATAATCATATCTAATTATATATAACTATATATAATTATATATAATTATCAGGGCCAGGAAGTTGGCGGATTGAGGTTAACAAAAAAAAAAAATTAAATATTATTTTAAAATAATAACGACATCGGGTGTTTCCGTAAGTCAGATAGTTTCAAGTATGTTGATAATAAATTTGACATCAATTTATTGTGATCTAAAGTTAGCTGACTAATAAATATTGACATCAATTAGTAACAGTGAAGTTAGTTACTTGAATGTCAAATTAACATTGCAATGATTCAAATTCTGGATGGATTTTAAAAATATTAAATGATAATACTAAAAATAGCCAATATATAATAAAATGATCTTATAAGCACGTTTTAATTATTTTTTTTAAAGAATGTAAAATATTTAGGATTCTAAAATATGTTTGACCACTTTTAACCCTGATTTTACTTGAACTGGGCTGAAAGATTTTGAGCATTTTTTTGGTCATTTTAAAAAATTTGAAAAAATTGTTTTTTTTTTTTTGTTTTTTTTTTTTTTTTTTTTCTACCCACACAAAACAAAATTCAAAAATATCAAAATAATCAGCTTTTAATTATATTTATTTCTTTTTTGCCAGTCGCTTAAGTGTCACTGAAGTGTCGCTTGAATGTCGCGTTTTTTTGTCCAAAAAAAAAATTTACACAGGTATCGTTTGAAAAGTTCAATTTTATTGAAAATTAAGTTTTTATTTTTGAATTTTTTGCTTTGACTAGTGAATCGTTAGATATTTACTCGGAATAGTAGAGAGAATAACGCTCTACGAAAAATAAGAAAGTTAAGTTTTACCCAATTCTAGTCTAAAAAAAAATAACACCAGAATTTCGTTTAAAAATTACAATTTTATTGAAAATGGAGGTTTGATTTTTTAATGTTGTTCGATAAACCGGTAGATTATGCTTAGAAATTTACCAGGAATTGTAGAGAAAAAAATACCCTACAATAAAGTACTGAGCGGATTTTCACCCAATTCCAGTCCGAAAAAAATTACATGCTAGTCTTGCTTAAAAATTGAAATTTATTGAATAGAAATGTTACAATTTTTAATTATTTTCAATAAACCTGTGGATGCTTTGTAATGTACTTAAAATTATAGAGGAAAAAATATCCTAGAAAAAAGTATTGGGAAGTTTTTTACTCAATTCCAGCCCAGAAAAAGTTATACGCAAATCTCGTTGAAAAATTGAAATTTTATTAGATAAATGTTTCATTCCTAATTTTTTTCGATGAACCTGTAGATGTTTAGCTATTTATCTAAAATTATAGAGAAAAAAAAATTCCACAAAAAAGTATTGAGAAGTTTTCTATCCAATTCCAGCCTATAAGAAGTAACACGCAACTTTCGTTTTAAAATTGAAATTTTATTAAAAATGAATCTTTTATTTTTCATTTTTTTTCCGATATTCCTGTAGATCTTTAGCGATAGACTTGGAATTATAGAGAAAAAAAAACCCTACAATAAAGTACAAAGAAGTTGGGGGGTATCACGTGACCTGCGATAGTGATAATACGTTGTCTACAAGTGCTCCTATAATCTAGTAAAATTCTGTAGTTTTGAAACCAGTCAAAATTAATTTTTTTACTTTAAGTGAATCCTGGAGAAATACGTAATAGTGTTGTATAAAAACATTCAGATAAACATAGAGTTCTTAACAGTTCTGTGCTTTCTTTCCTGAGTGGATAATTATAGGTTAAGATGGAAACAGTTCAGGAGAACAGTGTAAATCTAATCAAAACAGCTAACAGTGGCTCCATCTTGCCGTCAAGCAGTGTAGCTCAAAGCCCAAACACCACTAATTCAAACTTAAGTGATAACAAAACGCCAAATAAACAAGGACGTCCGCTTAAATCGCAATCATTCACCTCAGAAGCTACCTTGAACAACCGTAACATGCTTGAATATCTCAAGAGGAAAAGAGAAGATACAGCACTGGATCCGGAACATACAGAAGACACAGAAACTGCTTCACAAGCTACAAAAAAACAAAATATGCTCCAACTGTCTTCCACTAAAGCTCAGGACACTCCGGTGTGCCTGGAGAATAAATCGACAGACGAAATACTGAGAATTCTTGTTAGCCAAATCGGAGCTGTGAGAGAAGAAGCAAAAACCAACAAGACTAGCCTCGAAAACCGAATCCAGCAAAGTCAATCTGAAAACAAAAAATCGATACAGGCGCTGCGTAAAGATTACCAAGAGCTAAAAAGCACATGGTCTGACAAATGGACTAAAATGCAAGAAAGACAGGCTAAACTGGAAGCTGAAATAGCCGAGTTGAAGGCCGCTAAAACAAATACTGAACACACGAGGCTGGAGAAAGAGAATAACTCATGTATTGAGGAGATAAATAGTAAAATTAAATGTCTGGAGGATATGACCGAAATATATGAAAAATCCTGGAGAAAACTTAATATTATAGTCAAAAATCATAACTGGCCGAACTCTAACTTGCTCAACCAAGCTCAAGAATTTTTTAATAGAAATTTTAACTTAAATAACCCAGTAAGTGAAATAAAACCGCTGGACAGAAACTTTAAAATTTTAAGGATTAAACTGGCCGATGAAAATACTAAAGCGATAATATTAAAAAATAAAGCCCTAAACCTGAAGGAATCCAAAATATCTATTATGCAAGACCTAACCAAACGCGAACTGCAAACTTTCAAAAAATTACAGCAGGTTGCTAGAGAACAAAAAGAGCTAGGTAAAAAGATCAAGCTAAAAGGCCTGCAATTGAGAATCGAAGATACTTGGTACAGCTGGAATTCCAACACCTCTACAATAACACCAGTCAAAAACAAGCTAAAACTCATTGCAAACGATAACTCTTACGCTACAAATGCTCAAACCAACCATCAAGCTTACTCTAATCAAAAAAACGCATAAGAACTATAGCATGGAACGTTAGGGGAATCCAAAATCTATGGGAGGCAGATAACTTAGTAGGTACAGATATCATTTGTGCATGTGAGACATGGGCAACCCACGCCAATGAACTACCACCCAACTGGAATAAATACTCTGCATTATGGTCACCAGCAATTAAAGAAAAGAGTACAGGTCATGCTAGTGGAGGGATAATAATATTAGCCAAAAAACCTATTAAAATCAAAGAGATTTTCTCTTCAGATAGTTGGATATTTGCACACATCACAGCTGGATCCTCTAGGTTTATTCTTGCAAGTGTGTACATTCGCCCCAGTCGAGATATGAAGACTTCCATGGACCTGCTACAGGACTCAATAAACGATATCGACCAACTTTATGGAAACCTCCCGATGCTACTAGTAGGCGACTTCAACGCCAGATTAGGTGCTTTGTCACCTATCCAAGAGGAACTAGTCACAAATACTAATATATATGCAACAAGAGAAGCTAGCGATGAAGAAATTAACACAAGAGGCCGGACCCTGGACAATGCAATGACAGAAAGTTCTTTAATCGTCATCAATGGCAGATCATTTAGTGACCGACCCAGCAAACACACCTGCCTCCATATAAACAAAAGTACGATTGACTTTGTATGGGCAAATGTCAGTGCTCTGAGCATAATATATGATTTAGAAATCCTGCAGATTGAAAACCCCTCGGATCACTTCCCTCTGCTCTTGCAACTGTATTATGATGAACCGCCTCTAACTCAAGCAACTATCGAAAACAAGAACAGGGAAATGTTCCAATGGACTAGCACTGGAGAAGACGAATACAGAGCACGAATGACTTGGTCAGACAAAGTAGCTCTAATTAATAATGATAACCTAGATGAAATAAATAATATCCTAATAACAGAAAACAAAATAGCCGCAGAAGCTGCAGGAATGAAAAAGCAACTAAAAGGACTACACAGACTGAAAAGGTCGCAATTATGGTACGATGATGAGTGTAAACAAGGCAAACAAGAATTAGCCAAACTATTTAAGTCATATAAAAAGGCAGGCTTCCAAGGACAAGCAAAAGAACTATACGTACAAGCTAAAAAAAAACAAAAAGCCTTAGTGAAAAGGAAGAAACAACAAGTCAGAGAGCAACAACTGAATAATTTAGCTAATACCAATAAACCAAGTGATTTTTGGAAAACAGTATCTAGATTTAAAAGTCACCCTGGTACTGGAAAGAATCCTATTTCAATCCAGGCCTGGGAAAATTTCTATGAAAATAACATACCTAATAGAGAAGAAGATACAACCACGTACTACGGAGTATTGGATCCTAACTTGGACTGCGAATTTACATTGTCAGAGTTGAACCGTGTACTAAACAAATCAAAGTCGAACAAAGCTACAGGCCCAGACGGAGTCAAGAATGAACATCTGAAGAACCTTCCCGAGAACTGGAAGCTGTACATTTTATGTCTATTTAATAAAACTTTAGAAAAAGAAACTGTACCATCTGATTGGTTCTCGGCAGCTATCTCTCTTATTCATAAAAAAGGTAATGATCAAGATCCACTTAACTACCGCCCAATCGCTTTAATCAATCATATAGCGAAACTCTTTACTGGCTTGCTCAATTATCGAATAGAAAAGTGGGCAGAAAAAGCCAAAATCTTTCCTGAATGTCAAGCCGGCTTTAGATCTGGAAGAGGCTGCCTGGACAACCTTTACGTACTGCACTCCGTCATTCAATTTCGTCTTCGATAACCAAAAGCACCTGCCTACCTCCTGTTCGTTGACTTCAAATGAGCATTTGATTCAGTCAACCACAAGATCCTCTGGGGAAAAATATTCAACTGCGGAATCAGCGCAAAACTGGTAAGGCTCCTCAGAAATATATACAACTCTGCAGCATTTAAAGTAAAAGTAAATGATAGCTTCACAAAAGAGTTCAACACGACGGAGGGGGTCCTACAAGGAGAAATTCTTAGCCCCCTTCTGTTTTTGATTTTCATCGCAGACCTTGAGGACTTCTTGCACTCTAGAGGATGCTTTGGCATCAGTATCGACGGAACCACCGATGTGTTAGCTTTACTGTACGCAGACGACCTAGTTCTATGTGCTAATTCACCAATAGAACTTCAAAAAATAATTAAAATATTCCACGAGTACTGCGAATTGAATAAACTTACCGTCAACTCAACTAAAACTAAGGTCCTTGTGTGCAAACGAGCCGGACGCATTTCAAAAAAGATTCAATTTACATATGATGATCAACCAGTACAAATCACGCAGGAATATGAATACCTAGGAGTAACAGTCTCTACCCGTGGTATCAGCAAACCAGCAGCACTCAACGCAATGAAAAAAGCAAAAATGGCATCTGGATTAATACACTCAATCCTAGTAAAAGCTAAACCTAATTCCTTATCCTGCTCACATAAACTATTTGATTCAATGGCAGCAGCAACACTCTTGTACGCAGCACCTATCTGGGCAATCCCATACAGAGAACTGGTGGAGAAAACTCAAACAGACTTTTACAAAAGACTTTTTGGTCTTCCACGGACTACATCAGGAGCTTTAATTAGAAGTGAGCTGGGGATAACCCACCTATCATACAAAATATTAAATGCAGCATGGAATTGGATTATAAGAGTCTTAGAAATGGAAGAAGACCGCCTACCGAAAGCCTGCCTTAAACGACAGTCTAGACTCTTCATCGATGGCAACTGCCATAGCAAATATAATTGGCTCGCAAGTCTACTCAACGTTGTTAAGACCATAACACCGGAATTACTGCCTGACTTAAACACCCTCAACCCCAGAACCTGGACAGCACACAAAACAACTTTTTTTGATAAGTACAAAGCACATTTAATGCAAACTGATGAACACCTGCATGAAAATGCGCACTACTTACAAAATCCGCCATCTAACACGGCGAAAAGCTATTTAAATGAAAGAATCGCCTTTCAAGCAATAAAACTCTTACTGCAATTGAGACTTGCTAGTAAATATTATTGTCAGCTAACAATTGACGGACATCTTCATAAGTTCAACTTCAGCGAAAATTGCCCAATTTGCAACACTGGAGAGCCTGATTCCATTGAACATCTGATGATTGGCTGCCCGATCTACAACCACTTGCGAGAACATCATCTATCGGTTTTTAACTCACCTCGGACTCTAACGTCTATTTTAAATGCAGACAATAAAAAATTAATTAAAGCAATATTGTACTATGTTATCAACAGCTGTCGTCTAAGGGCTTTCTGCCTAAATGAGTGAACTATTTATTGTAAAAAGAAAAAAAAAAAAAAAAATTTTTTTTTTTTTTTTTCTTTTTACAATAAATAGTTCACTCATTTAGGCAGAAAGCCCTTAGACGACAGCTGTTGATAACATAGTACAATATTGCTTTAATTAATTTTTTATTGTCTGCATTTAAAATAGACGTTAGAGTCCGAGGTGAGTTAAAAACCGATAGATGATGTTCTCGCAAGTGGTTGTAGATCGGGCAGCCAATCATCAGATTTGTAATTTATATATTTATGTATTAACTGTATACCCCCTTGCTATGGGTTAAATGTACCTGAAGAGCAATAAATAATCTTAATCTTAATCTTAATCTTACAAAGAAGTTTTTCACCCAATTTCAGCCCAAAAGAAGTTACACGCCAGTTTCGTTTAAAAATTACAATTCCATTGAAAATGAAAGTTTTAATTTTTTGCGGTGAACCTGTAGATGCTTAGCAATGTACCTAGAATTATAGAGATAAAAATACTATACAAGAAAGTACTAAAAAGTTTTTAACCCAATTCCAGTCCCAAAGAAGTTACACGCCAGTTTCGTTTAAAAATTACAATTTCATTGAAATTAAAGGTTTGATTTTTTAATTTCTTGCGATACACCTGTATCTTATCTATAATCAAACATTTCATAGAATTAACTGTGAACTTGCTTTCTTGACAATTAAACAATTGCAAAATGTTTTTGCTCTAAAAAATAGTAATAACATTATTAATCAACTGCTACAAATTGTGTAGAAATAGAAAAATTTTGTATTTCTACACAAAATGTACTCGGAAAAAAATTTCTGGGAAAATTTACGATATAACTATTGTAAAGCTGGACTATACTTTAATTACTATTCATTTTCAAATATTTTAGAAGAAAATTTACTATTTATTCATGAAATTTTACAATTTACGATTAGAAAAAATACGATATTACTATTGTAAAAAGTAAGAATTAAAATTTCCAGTGCTGTATCGGTATCTTTCCAACAGAACTATAACAAATTTTGCAATAGTTGAATTGGAATATTTTTCACTTAGTGTGAGCGATGGCCGTGCACAGCGCTAGACTCCGACATTATGTAAATGTTAAAGGGCATGGGTACTAGTTTACCTCGGATAGCGTAGAGAGAGAGTCTCTGGCTGCCAAAAAAGAGTTCCGGGTTCGATTCCCGGATACGACGAAAATTCCGATTTCTTTTTTCGGTTACTGTATTGGTACCAATTAGTCCGACCTCCTATCTCTCCCCCTCCTTAAAATTTTTTTTAAAAAAACCGACTGTCAATTTTTGCAATAATTGAATTGTAAAGTTTACAAACACATATTATATAATTTGCTCTATATTATTCGACTTTTTAAGTTTCTTGCTAGCCTTGCTTGTTGGATAAAATTTACAATAGTAGATCGTAAAAATTACTAAATGAGAAGTACAGTCCACCGTTACTATTTAATTTAATAAAAATTACGATAGTGAAATAGTAAAAAATCCTTCAATTTTTTTTCCGTGTATAGAAGTATAACTGAACTAGTAATATTATAGAAATTAACTGTTTGTTAAGTTTGAACAAGTAGAAGTATTTTTGATACATAACTAAAAAAAAAAACTACAGAAAAATGTTTGAAAATTTCTACAGTGAGAGTTGTACATATTTAAAACCTTGAGAAGTTACGATATTTTGATCCAATTTAATTTATGTAAATCGTGATTGTATCAAATCTCAATCTAAGTTCAGCTAATCTCATATAAATCTCATCAACTCCATTTCAATAATATACACGATCGGACATTTTTGATAATAATTTCATTTTTAAAAATCGTACCTAAGTTAATAAATTTCAAAATTTGTTTATATTTCTAATTTTCATAGCGGAAAGCTCAGAAAAATTATATTGATATTAATATTAATTATTGTGAAATAATAAAAATACATACCGCAGCAATTGATAATCCAATATCATAATGTAAAATATCAAAACTTTGTTTTAAACTATTAAAACTTCTGTGTATCAATCTTTTTCTGATTCTGTTTTGTAGTTTTATTTTTGATGCTGGTATCTCTAATCGCCATTGAATGTAATGAAGTAAACACTCTTTTCGAAAATCGTATACATTCATGTTTTCATCCAAAGGCTTTAAAGGAGTTACTTCTGTGGGAGGTTGATGCAAATACGAATATAGTTTATAAGCAATATCGTCATCTTTTGGAATCTTACAATATGACTTGACTAATTTTATAATTATATTTTGTGTCTTGCTGAAAAAGAAATAATATTACGCCATTAAATTAAGAAATGAAGATGTGTTTTTTATTTCTCATATATATATATATGTGTGTGTGTGTGTGTGTGTGTGTGTGTGTGTGTGTGTGTGTGTGTGTGTGTGTGTGTGTGTGTGTAATAATTTCGCCATTTTGATTCTGTTGGAGCTGTAAATGAAAAATTTAATTTTTTAATGTCCCCGCATTATCCTTTGTGGGTTTAATTTCTTCAAATTAGTTCTTTGTTAAACTCAAAATACAAAAAATAATAATTATTCCACGTGTTTCAACCCTGTATGAGTTATAGCGTAAAAGTATGAAATTTTTTTTATTAACGCCCCCGCAACCCTTCTTGTGGGAGAAGTTTCGTAAAATTGGTTTCTTAACTAACCTCTACTCAGCAAAAGGAATATTTCTACCAAATTTCAAGTCTCAAGGGTTTATAGTTCCAGAGATATCGCGATGAGTCAGTCATAGGTGGAAACCTCTCATATAATAATAATAATAATAATAATAATAATCCTAACTTTTAATAGTTCTTAATTTTTCACTTTTCACTGGATGTTGGATGATTGGTGAACTCTCTGTGATGATGACTGGATTCTGTGGTGATGCTGAACTCTTCTCACGATGATGGCTGGATACTCTGGTATTTGCTGGAACACTGTGAACTGCTTGGCTCGATGTTACTCTCTGGTCTTCGGTTATTGTAACTCGTACTGTCCTTATCTTGAAGATTTGCACATTATGTTGTTGGATGTGCAAAAACCTTTTCGTAGTTTTTGGAAACTACCTCGATCATTAACTTTAGCTGTTTAAGACTCCTTTCGAACTAGCTTCTTCTAGAGGATGATCTTTCCTCCTCGGACCTTCTAGGAGCCTTCCCTGAAGCACTAGATGTCGCAGCAGATAAAAGCATATGACTTTGCTGGATCAGCTGTGAACTGGAATTTTTCTGTCGGTCTGGTCCGAGTATACCACTTGTTGACAAAAAAATCGATAACCATTTCTGCGTTCTTGAGGAAGTCCAACCCTAGGATGTACGGTTGAGATAGTGACTGCATCCAATGGAGATTGGCTTTAACGAAGAAATCCTTCAACTGTACGTCGGTCCTTGTGATCTGATTTATTAGTTGCTCTTCCCCATTAGCAAGTATTACACGACGTGGTGGTATCGTCTCGACGTCTATACGTAATTTGGTGACTAGATCAATACCACCACGTCGTGTAATACTTGCTAATGGGGAAGAGCAACTAATAAATCAGATCACAAGGACCGACGTACAGTTGAAGGATTTCTTCGTTAAAGCCAATCTCCATTGGATGCAGTCACTATCTCAACCGTACATCCTAGGGTTGGACTTCCTCAAGAACGCAGAAATGGTTATCGATTTTTTTGTCAACAAGTGGTATACTCGGACCAGACCGACAGAAAAATTCCAGTTCACAGCTGATCCAGCAAAGTCATATGCTTTTATCTGCTGCGACATCTAGTGCTTCAGGGAAGGCTCCTAGAAGGTCCGAGGAGGAAAGATCATCCTCTAGAAGAAGCTAGTTCGAAAGGAGTCTTAAACAGCTAAAGTTAATGATCGAGGTAGTTTCCAAAAACTACGAAAAGGTTTTTGCACATCCAACAACATAATGTGCAAATCTTCAAGATAAGGACAGTACGAGTTACAATAACCGAAGACCAGAGAGTAACATCGAGCCAAGCAGTTCACAGTGTTCCAGCAAATACCAGAGT